CTGACGTGAATGTACTGAAGGGTATAATTCCTATATCATTTGTATTCAAACAGATCCTATACAGATGAGGAAGAGAGGAGATCTTCGAACAATAGACGTAATATACAAGAAAAATCAATATAGTGATGCATTAAAATTTTACTCCGGTTTTCACATTGTTATTCTTCAACTTAAAATTTATATTGTCTGTATTGTTATACCATGCCTTTTAAATTATAAATTACAGTGAGAAAGTATAACACAGATTGAAAATCCAATTAAAATCTAAGAGAACTGATACTTTCCAATATTTTTTAAGCAAGTCTTATCTGTTTTTTTTAAGAACAAATTAGTTTTAATTTGAGTATGAGATGACAATGAATAACATTAATGAAACTGATTAATGACGTAATAAAGAAATCTGAGTACAATAAAGATAGGACCATCTCTTATATCTCGTCCTGGATAAACCTGTGTCCCAGTTTAATTAAGAGTTAATAAAAGTGACACTCTTTCCCTGCAAGTAATGAATTTGTGATTAATCTGGGTTTTCTTTTCTGACAAATCATTCATTAGATTATACAAATCTATCTTTATTATCGCATGAATATCGTGCTTTCATTTTGAAGCTATTCGAATAAAGAATCATTAAAGAGTCACTCGTTTGATCTTCCACATTTTACCTCCGATCGTATTTATTCTACCATCGCAAGTTGCAATTTTGTTTCAAAATCCATTCTATTATCAGAGATCATCTATTAAGAGCATCAATACTTGGAGATAAAAAGTTCTTCCACGCGGATGGAGTCTTGAAAGGCGAAACAAGTGAGAGGAGAATCTGTTCTTTCACGGAAGAATCTTATCGATTTAATTAACGCGTCCACGACGAACGCAACGAACCGTCTGTTAGTCGGGAGGGCACGAGTTTTTATCCCATCTTCGCCATTACGGCGTCGCCGTTGATGCCGGTGCGCTTCGTACGAACCGAGCCGGGCATTATGGGCGTCATATTTTCCGTGGTGGTCCATTGTGCAGCGGCGTACGACGTGCAACGGAATATGCATATGAATGACCATGCAGATTCGCCGTTTGTTTTATTATCTTGGAGCGCTCGTAAGTGTATCTGCATTATGCAACGACTAATAGGGGTAATGGGCAACGTGATTACCGCTAGCACCGTGCATTACTTTCGGCTCATACTTTCTGCGCGCGATTCTGTGTTACGAGACGAAATGAATGTGCCGCGTTAACATTATGCAACCCGATATGTCAGCCGCAAGCAATCGCCATTTAAAATTTTCTTTCTCGCCCGCCTTGAAAGTATTTATCGTCGCTGTTACGCTGTCGGGAGTCCCGAGGAGCATTTCGGAATTACCGGGCAAGACCCCCGATTGTCGGTAAATATACGCAGATGAGATTCAGAATTGTTTTGCATAAACTAGTTTAATTAAAGTACTTTAAACCGTTCCGCGTGGAAATTCGGAATCGGATCTTTACATTTGCGATTCCTTGATCCCCTTCTTCTCTTTGGAGAAAGTGCTCGTTACCTGAAATTTCTTGTACAAGACACCTAATCTTGCGATTTTAATAATTTAATAGATTAGTATCTCGTAATCTTGGTTGTATCCTTAACGGATGTCTTAAAAGAAACGTTCAGCTTTTCGTTCACTTAATCGATAATATAACGTTCACTTACACGCTTTGCTGCGCAGATCCCAGATTTTTAAAGTCCGATCATAACTTCCTGTAACTACTTTCGACGGTTCGCCAAGAAACTTTGCTGCCATCACCTTTGCGCAGTGGCCCGTGAGTGTATGCTGAAACAAAAATATAAAGATTCACTGAATCGCTACCTCCAATAACACAAGTAAAATGAGAGTACATATGTTCTTGCAATAATATATGGATCAATACAAATATTTTTCATACTCAATTGAGTAATCTGTCCAATCTCACCAATATCATTCAATTAAATAAAAAAAAAAAAAAAAAAAAAAACATTATTTTAAGATATCCTTCCCTGATTTCATAAGTTAATTTTAAACAACATGTAATAATAAAATAATTTCACACAGATCAATTTTACTTAAAATAGTTAATCTTTTTCACTTGAATTTCTCTTTAAAATATATTCACACGAATTTCCCATTTTATTTGTTTCATCGTATACATTAATTTTTATTTAGATACGCTTAAAACTAATAAATAGCGAAATTTATTACTTTCCCAATGATGCTAACTCCATTTGAAAACGTGAGCCATAAAAGGCAATTAAAATATATTATTCGCGTCACGAATTTACCCTGTTATAAACTATTTTGTTTAAATACAATTTGAAAGCGCCGTAGTCATTGGCGCTTTGTAACTGGAGTCTTGAACTTTAAACAGGGACTTGTTAGATCGAGCACCGGCTTTCATAAGTTGATTTTCTCTCTTCTACTTTCGAGTTTAGCTCTGCTCCGAGCATCGACGTGTTCGAAATGAGAAATGAATGTAGCTGCAAGGGGCGGAAGTAGACCGACGGTATAAAGCGTGCGTTTCCAACGGAATAGTACGTCATCCTTTAACGGTAACAAGAAAAGAGTTCGATTTCATTATTACCTTCATATTGAGTTGAACAAGAAAATTCAACTGGTGCCCCCGATAGTTCTCTTTATATTCCAGATATTCGTTCATGAACATTTGAACGTGAGGTATAGATTTAACAAAAATTACATCAGCAGAGACTTGAGCACAGTCGTAACGACCGTCACGATGAACGTAATACGAGTATTACAACTGAAAATATTGCCAAATATCCCGGGGATATTTGTTTTGCCGTTGACATGATGTCAACGACAGTTGTTCTGTCTCTCTTTACTTTGAGCGCTTTTGCGCGCGAACGAGCATTAAACCCGTACGTTGACGTCCATGGTGGCCCATTTTACGAGCCATTTTTTTTTTTCGATCACGAGCTACGCCCGATATTCTAGGGTTCTCTTATCAAAGTTTTTGGGAACGGTATACGTTCGATGGTACTCTATTTTTTTTTTACAGCGCAATCCTGACAACGCGAGTCTTTCATTTTGAAGCAGAATTTTTACCTCTTACTCGTTCATTTATGCAAAACATTGCTCTCTCTCTCTCTCTCTCTCTCTCTATTTAGCACATAAATCATTGCGGCAGAGATTAGCTGCACATTACTGTAATCGTAAACAGGAAGGATTAGAATATTCGTAACAGCACACAAAGTTAATTATGTTTAGGCGTTTCCTAACGATCGCTTGTCGATAAAGAATTTGCTAGCAGATCGTTACAGTATCGGCCGGCGCTTTACGAGTGAATAAATTTTTCAATGACAGCAGGTATCCTGCGTTATATATATTTATCGTATCCCGCATTAATGGTCCAAACTGCTAATGCAATTTCAAGAATGGTATACAGAGTTCTCATATTGTAAGACGGCTCATGGGTGCAATGGGTGAGGAGGAGTAATTCAGAAACAAGCGGCGGGCGGTCGCGCTAATGTTAGAGTCCGAGTTTTACGAGTTAATAAATTACTTAGCGAAGGGCAATACATTTCTTTGTTCCAACGTTGACACAACACGTATTTGTGACGTGAGTGTCTACGACGGCAATAAAATTATCAAGTGATATATGTAGCACTTACACGGTTACATAAAATTACCATTGAATCTAAAGAGTAACGACGATCCCGGTATCGACGGACCGTTTTACAAATCAATCAAGTCGTGCGACGGACCTGCCACAGGCGTGATTTAATGACTGCCAACGCCTTCCGCGTGCATGCTTGCACATCGTCGTTAAATGAAATTCTGAAGTTATCTCATGTACGCTTCGCTCGTTCCTTTTTCTTCGCATCGTCGTTTAATGGTGAAGGATTCAAGCGTGTCGTCGACAAGGAGGGAGGTGCGGGAGAGCGACTCGAGAGCTCTTCCGTATAAGGGAGAAGAGATGTTAAAAAGAAGACTTGGCCAATTTTAAGGTGCGCGGCGCCGGGAACTAGCACGCTCTTGAAAAATGTCCTAATGTAAATTAATGGCCCGGAAGTTTAGCTGGAAGAGCTATAACGTGAAAGAAACACAGGTAGGAGTATGGTCCCTCCCGACTGGCCTTACGAGCTGCAGAGGAGAACTTTACCCTCTTTCGCAAAGATGTCGGAGGAAGAGGCCGAAGAAAGTGCACCATAATCTAGGGTCTCGAGAACTTTGCCAAAAGTGAGACGGCAAGTTTACGTTTCTTCCGAACGTTAAACGGCTGAATAGACTTTACTTTCAATCGCCTTGTCCTGTTAAGAATGACACTGACACAACAGGGATGCGAAAGAACGTGCGCTTTTCATAAAACGTGCAATTTTCATAAAACGCTTTTCGGTATAAAAATAGACACGTAACTTTACGTGACTGAAACATCTATAAACATTAAAAAGGCAAAAATTAAGCTTTATAGAAATACTTAATAAAAATTAGTTAAGAGGATTAATTTCAGTGTTGCAAGGATTGCAAATTCTTCCGAGAAATTCTTTATCTAGAAGAAATATGTCGAATTCAAGTAAATGTCATTTTTTAAATTTAATCTTGTTCTCAACACTACAACTGTATTTTGAAGTTCGTTTATCTTAATACACAAATTTTCTTTCGAGGTTTTTATGTACACATATACACGTATATATGTATATGGAGCTTTTTACGAGTAAACTTTTAAAGAAGTGGCTCAATTTATTGCATACTAGTAACGTTTTACAACTGTACTCTTTTTTGCTTTCCTAAATGAAATTTTTTTTCAGTATATCTTGTTAATATATATCACTTTCTAAATTTTTATGACACAAAGAAGTTTAAATTTTGATTTAATAAAATAAAAATTAATATGCTTTCTTTCTATTTTGTGATTCTTAACAAAAGAAAAAAAAACAGTTTATTGCAAAAAGTCATTAAAAATAGAATGCAATTCGACAAATGAAAATTAGATAAGAGAAAATTTCTATACAACGATAAAAATAATATATAGTTTATATTAAAACTTAAATTTAAATATTAATAAATATATTAATAAATATTAAATATTTAATTTTTCCTACTAATGTGTGTAATTCGTCAAATATAAATATATTTCAAGTTTCATAATATGTTAATACAGAAATCATTTATTGTAATAAACGTATGTCTTAAATAAATGTCTTCTATGGCTATTCTAGAGAGAGTTATGGAAGCTATTCGAATATTCAATAATTTCATAACAATACAGTAATTCCGTTCTAACGCAAACACGGAGGTAATTCGAGATTACAGACAAAATGCGGAGCACGCGACCATAGCTAGGAAGTTTATTAATGTGAATATTCGAAAAGCCCTCGTAATCCAGTTTGGTTTCGTATACAGATTATATTTCTTCGATGATGAGTTTGAAACACCGTAACAAATTTCACGAAAGATGAACTTACTCAATCACGTATCCGCGATAATATATGATACATTCTCACATATATGACGCTTAGCGCGCGATAAATATACACCCATCTATATAATAATATTATCATGCGACATAACATCCGAGATACCCACAAAGGAGGAATGATAGAGTACTTTAGGTCGCGTCAAACGCGACCGGGGAAGCTCTAACAATCCGCATGCAACGTAGTTTACTGTGGCGTCTTCAGGAGTTCTTTGCCGTTGTGCATAAACTCGAAAGACGCCAAACGACGTCAATCCGCTCAGATGTTAAATGTTGAACGCCCACAAAGCTGATTCTGAAAGCATTCGTGGTCATAGGAGCGTTTGCTTTTGAAGAAGAAATCGTAAACAATAATTTCTAAAATCCGTATACCGTGAATTTAAATTTGACTCTCTACACATTTCCAAGTGATGGAGAAGAAATTATTTTTTTTACAAAAATTGAAAAGTAAAGGAATGAATTTTAATTAGTTATTATTCAGGAAGAATCGACTTTAAATTCGCTAAAAAATTTGTAATCAAGGAAAATTATGATGCGTACACGTGTATCGTTCATATAACATAAAAATCATCATCATTTTCCAAAAGATGATTGTACATTAACGAATGTTGATAGTCCTAACGCATAACGAATAACACGCCAGGGAGATCCCTTTATTTTACATCCGTGCGGCAAGAATCGTCCTGGGAAGGTACACATCGAGGTTTGAGGAATACGCGGCTGATATCGTCTTTTTACGATGCACCGGCCAAGTTCCAGTCACTAGTGTGGGGTGCGCGTGTGGTGTGTATACACCCGGTGTGCTCCTGTGAGCAATAAAAGCATAAACTTCTTCATAGTCCTAGTAGTGCTCCATCGAGGGCAGAACAGTAATGCGGCCAGCCGGAGAAAAAGAGCAACAGCGAAACGAAGGGAGTGAGATCCCTCAAGTTATACGGGGGCTTCAATTAAAGTCGGTAAAAAGAGTGGCGGGGAAGCTTCCTGGAAAGCAACTGGCGATCTATGTTTTATGGCTGTTGCACTCACACTGTTTTTGAAGCGTATGCGCGAACGATTCGCCACCGAAAACCGTTTTCAAGGGTGGTCGAATGCTTGGATATACGCCTCGTACTTATTAGCTATCGCCAGCGGTGGTGGTTTCACTTCTACCCTTGAATATGATGTACTTGCTAATCTCACGCTTGATCTCTATTGCCGCTCATTAATTTCAGTAACATAGTTATTACCGAGAGGCGCTGTGCCTGATCCTATAAAAACTTCCAAGAGTCTAAATGAAGACGAAGTATACATGTTCTCGTATAATCATGATGAATATCTTTTCCAAGAAATTCATGTAAAAAGCATGCGTTGGTGGAAAAATTAT